CTTGAGGTTCCAAAATGTGCACCTCTATGAATCTCCTCACTGCGGACCACACTAAATGGAATGCGGCCGTAGTGGATATGTTGCACTGTGCTTGGACTTATTCTTGGTACTTGTGCATGTTTCACTCCTTTTTGAGCTGGTTTTGACTAATTGTCACCCTTTTGACCAAATACTGCAACAAAGTAAAACATGCAAGACTTTGGGACTATTTTGTATACATTTTTAATCAAAACTCAAGTAAAAAGGAGTGTAAAATGGACTAGAATCCGTAGTTATCAACTCCCCCAAACTTAAGCTTTTGCTTGTCCTCAAGCAAACAAAATAAGACCCACCTCTTAAGAGTAAATCCAAGAAAATTCAGCTGACCTAAAGTGACCTCATCTAGCATCAATTGGGACTAACAATTGCCCTCAATTCAAATGAATCATTAACAACATTCGACCTTCTAAACACCATGGATTTAGTGCGACACAAGAGCATGAAGAGTTGACTCAACCCATCAAAGAAACTCTTTCCACTACCTTGGTCATTGTGGAACCCAAACTCATACTCCTCAACTTTCATTAAGCAACCCTCACTTTTAGATCGAAGCACTTGGAACAAGGATTGTGGAAAACACACTCATCTGTCTCAAAGAATGTCACAAGTCCGGCTCTAAGTACCATAAGCTTGCCCCTTATGTGAGTCACCACTAATGTAAGCTTCATTCAACTAAAGATCATATAGGGCTTTTGTTGAGACATAGTAAAGGCTTTTGGTTCAGGGTAGGAAATATTTGGTCTAAGTAGGTTCCATCTTCCCATTAGCACTTCCTTTGCTTCATTTTGGCACACATTCTCTTGACTTTTTAAGTCATTTGCTTCTTTCTTAAGGGTTAGAGAGATACACTGTCACTCTTTCTTGTTCTTTTCAAACCTTTTTCTCCCTTCTAAACATTCCACACCTTTCATTTCTTTTCCTTTTATTGAATCCCCTCATTTCTTCTAGGTTGTTCATTCTTTTTGACTTTTTGATTTTCTTTCTTTTTCATTGCTTTTTCTTTTCTTCATTTTGTACGTTTTACAACTTTGTTGCATTCCTCGTCTCTCCCCCCAAACTTATATTTTTGCCTTGTGCTAAGGAAAGATAGAGTGCCAAGAGAGGGTCTTTTTAGAATGGGTAAATGCTTGTATCATGGTTTTTGAAAGAAAAAGGTCTATGGCTCAAAATGGTTGACTAGGGATATTATCATTGGTAGGCTAATGGAAGTTTTCCAGATATCATTCAGATCAAGGAGAGCCTATAATCACATCTCAAGTCAAACTATACTTAGGATTTTGCCTAGAAAAACATTCAGGGAAATTCTAGACTAATGACTCGGGACTTGGACATGCAATTCAAACTCTCACCACACAAGCTATAGGATTGCTAAAGAGACGGAGTCGGGGGCCCACAACAACCTTAGCTAAGATTTCTGTAACACAATGATCCCAAAAAATTACTTGATGATTATCGTCCAACACAAGAGTCTCAAGGTCACAACTTTCACCATCCTATACACAACGATTTGTTTTTGACCATAGGATCAAAGGCAATATATGTTAGGACCAAGTGAAGCTTTGCTTGAGGCACCATTACTCACTAGCTACTATTTACACAAAAAGCAAAAAGAAAACAGACTCAAACCCTTAAGAAGGTTGTCATGCCATCCATCATCGGGAAGAGCCACCCGGTTCACACAAATTCCACCTTTGGAAAGAACGGTGGCATTAAGAAAACCAAAGGCTTATTGAACGTAAAACTCAAAATAAGAAGCTACGAAAATAAAATAAGAAGTTATGAAAGGAAAAATGGGGAAAGTAAAATAAATATATACAAGAGGGGATTTAGATGAATATACATAAGGGGGAATAAATATATACATCAGAAAGTAACTTTATATACAGACCAAAGTTGAAAAATACGAAAAGTAAACTAGAATGGTAAAATTATGTACATACCAAAAGTAAAAAAGAAAGCATAATAAAAGAAAATAATGTCATATATACAACCCAAATCATCCAAATAGGACTACCCCCTCAAATGAAAGCCTACATTGTCCTCAATGCTAACTAGCCAAAATAAGCTCAAGAAAAGATAGAGAGTAAAAAGAAACTCCCTATTGGCCCTCCGTCCGCATAGGATCATGAGTCTGGGTCTCTGGGTCCTCGGACTACTCGGGAACCTGAGACTGGCTCCCTGTAACCTGTGTCTCCACTGGGACCTGGGCCTGCACTGGGGCCTGAGGCTGGCTAGAGGTATCTCCCTGCGGCTTCTCCAACTCTATCATAGCATTATCAACACGGGGAATCACTCTCTTCCTCTTAGCTGGCCTCTCTGTCTCCTGCTCTAGCTCAGGCTGGGCTGCTGGAGCCGGGTCATGCAATAAAAGATCCAAAGGCAAGTGATCAGCCTTCAATATATCCACCTCCACCCTCAACTCTTTCACCGACTCCTTGGATGCCCGAATCTTTCTCAGTTTCTTTGTTTCTTTGGTCAAATCCTTTAATGCCTACCCATGCGAACCTTCAATGTCCAATATTAATTGATGGTTCTCCAGGAGCTTCTTCTGGTTTTCCAAAAGCTCCTTGAGAGTGTCCTCTACTGACTGTGGGACCTATGGCTGAGGAGGTGCAGACTGGGCTGCCACCGATGTAGAAGTACAGACAGCTTAGAAGTGGCTGCCTGCATCCAGTTGTTGATACTAGCGAGGGTCTGGCTGAAGCGGTGGGCAGTCAAAGGATATGCTGCAAATGAGGGAATATCTGGGGCTGTAGAAGTGGAAGGTCCTGGGGCCATGTCTTGGGTAGCTGAAGGAGGCTGAGTAGGAGCCACTACTACTACTGGCTCTTCAGACTGGCCAATAGAAGCAGTGGATTTGCCCTTGGGGTTCTTGGCTTTAGGGTTGTCATCACTGATGTGCCGGAGAATTTCGGCACATTTAATACAAATTGCTTAGATTTTAGCTTGTTTTAAATGCAATTATCTTTTATACTTATGTAATTTTAATATTTTTGCGGTGTATGAGGTTTAAGGACCTAAAAACATGAAAATGAAATCAAAAAGCAGCAAAAGGACAAGAAAGAGCAAAATGCAATCGCATATGTGAAAATGCAGACCGCAAATCCAACATGCGGACCACATAATGATCAAAGGAATTGCAAAGCCCAAAAGTCTATTGGCCAAATTCAAGTGCAAGAATTACGGTCCATTATGCGACCGCATAATAGGTTTGCGGGCCATATAATGGATCGCAATCTCCCTGTATAAGTTGCTGAAGCTGGAAATGTAGTGACATTATCCGGTCGCAAATCAACAATGCGGACTGTATAACTAAGATGCGACGACTACTTGAAAACTAGGGTTCGAGGATGCGATGGCTTTGACGAGAATGCGGACCGCATGTTTGTTATGCGACAGATATACAGTCGCATAATAGACCTAGAAGGGTATTTTTATCCGAAATTGGTCCCGAGTTTTAGGCCACTATAAATAGATTTATTGGGGTTTTGTGGGGGCATCTTGTCTGGGTTTTGAGCTACATTCCAACCTTTGAATATTCCTCTCTTTTGGAAGCTTTTGGAGTGAAGAATCTTGCACTTTGTAAGCTTTATGGCATTTAATATTCTCATCTTTTTGTATTTTAGCATGAGTAGCTAGCTTTAAATACTAAGGTTGTGGACCCTAAATGAGTGTTTAATATTGAATATATATATAATGGTTGGTTGATATATATTTATTTCTCATTCTTCTTTTATTGTTGGTGGTTGCAAGCATTAACAAGAGCCATTAAACTCTTTCTTTACTTGGAAAAGTGAGATAAAGTTTGGTAGAAATAAATATCAAAGACTCAAGGCTTTAAACCTTGTTTAATAGAATCACTTAGGAATAAGTGAGTTTTATTTGGCATAAAGTGATTGCTCTTAATTACAACTCTTTTATATTTGGAAAAATCATAAAGAGGAAATACTACCCAACTATTGGAAAATATTGGGTAGTCATTTAGAAATCATTTGTATATCTAAAGAACCTTCCATTAGAAATATATCATATTAACACCGATAGCATTACATTTCATTGACGGGGACACAACCTTGGTTTCCTTAATCAAATTAATTACATTCTCAACATTACAATTAGTTATCTCTTCAAATCACAATTATATCATACTCTTGTTACAATTAACCGAATAGAATTACGACCTAAGTCAAGTAACACACTACTCGAGTAATCTTTTTACGCCTATTCCATGTGGGATTCGATACCAACCTTTTTGGGTTATTATATTTGACACCGACCGTCTTACACTATTTAATTAAAGTTTAATTTGAGCGTACCATATTTTTATGTCGTTGTCGGGGAATACGGTTTTGAAATTACTAATTAGTGTGGATTTTACTTTACGTCTTATTCTATTCCATTACACTTTGCTTTTTTGCTTGGTGTTGATAGGAAGACATGGGCGAATATGAGGAAGAAATGAAAGAAAATCATTTTGTGGACATAGGTGAGTACATCGAGGATACAAATGCTATTGTACCTCCGGTTGTTGGTGCTGCAACTTTTAAAGTGGAACATGGTTTAATCCTAATGCTCAAAGCGGAGGGGTTTTTCATGAATTCCACTGATGATGATCCAACACAACATCTTAGAAACTTCTTGGGTATGTGTGCGATGCATAAGCAGAACAACGTCTCAGATGATGCCCTAAGATTGAGGGTGTTCAAGTACTCACTAGCTGGGGACGCAAGGAAATGGCTTCAAAACATGCCACCAAATTCCATTCATTCTTGGACTGAACTTGTCCGAGCATTCTTAGCTAAATGGTTCCCGCAAAGTAAGAAATCTAAGCTCCGGGATAAAAAAAATTCAAGCAAGTATCGAGAGAACATATACATGAGGAATGGGATCGATTCAAGTTACATTTGGTGAGGTCTCCCAATCATGATTTTTAGGATTCTATCTTGTTGGAGAAATTCTACATGGGTTTAGATCCTATGAACCAATCTATAGCCAAGAATGCAACTGATGGAACTTTTATGGACAAGACATTCACAAGGGTCACACAAATCCTTGACAAAATGGCACAACATAATCAAGCTTGGCACTCAGAGGACACCATAGGTAGAATTGCATATGGTTCTCCTTCCTTGACCAACATGATCATGGAAAATCAAGAGAGAGATCAAGTAATCGCAGGGCTTGCCACCAATGTCAATGTGTTGGCAAAGATGTTCACCAAAAGCCAAACGAAGAAGGTAAATGTGGTGGAGGATGTGCAACCCATATCAAATGAAGACTTTGAGGAAGCAAACTATGTCAGCAACTCTCAAGGAGGATATCAAAGGCAACAATACCAAGGTTAAGGACAACAAAATCAATGGAGGCCTAACCCACAAGGGCAAGGAAATCAATAGTGGCAAAATGACCAAGGTGTCTCAAATCAAGGAAATTGGCATAACAACAACAACTTCTCAAATCGGAGTTCAAACTCATATGTTCCTCCAAAGGGTCGATATTCAAATCAAGGTTCCTCAAGTGATTCTAAGTTGGAAAGCATGCTTGAACGGGTATTGCAAAATCAAGAGAAGTCCGACACTTCTATGAGGAATATGACCGAGCTTGTTGGCTCTCATACCACATCCATTCAAAAATTGGAGATGCAAATGAGAGATCTCTCTAGGGAACAAAGTCCGAAGTAAAAAGGGACACTTTCAAGTGACACAATTGTGAACCCAAAGGGTAGTGGAAGTGGTCCAACTTCTCATATCATGGAAATTACTACTCGAAGTGGGAAGGTACAACAAGGAGAGAGTGAACAAGTGGTTGAAGTATAAGGATCCGAACAAGAGGTTGAGGTTGAAGAGCCAAGTGTTATTGAGGTTGAAAAGGTTCCGGAAGAGCTGAGAGTGCAAGAAGAAAATATGGAAGAGGTAAAGGAAAAGGTAAAAGAGACACCAAAAACTCTACCACCTATTCCTAGACCTCCTCCTCCATTCCCTCAAAGACTCGCTAGGAAGGTTGATGATATCAAACTCGAAAAGTTCTATGACATTCTCAAGCAGTTATCGGTGAATATTTCATTTGTGGAAGCATTTCAATAGATGCCGGGTTTTGCTAAATATTTGAAAGACTTGATTACCAAGAAGATAACCACCAAGTATGAAGTGGTGAATGTGACTCACCGGGTTAGTTCCATTATTGCAACATCCACCATTCAAAAGAAAGAAGACCCGGGAGCTTTCACCATTCCATGTACTGTTGGGACACATGATTTTGCAAGAGCCCTTTGTGATAATGGGGCTAGCGTCAACTTAATGCCTCTTGCCATTTACAAGCAAGCAGGGTTAGGTATGCCAAGGCCCACAAGTATGAGATTGCAAATGGTCGAACATTCCATAAAGAGACCGGTGGGAATTGTCGATGATGTGCTTGTAAAAGTCGGAAAGTTTCTTTTGCCTACCGATTTCATAATCCTTGATTGTGTAGTTGACAAATAGATCCCTATCATTTTGGGGAGAACATTCCTTGCCACAGGAAGAGCACTAATGGATTCGGAACGGAATGAGATCAAATTCCATGTGAATGATGAAGAGGTTACATTCCAAGAAAGCAAGGGTATGAAACTACCACATGAATATGAAAGCATCTTGGTAATTGATATTGTTGATGAAGTGGAAGATATGGTTGAAATGAAGATGGAAGAACAATGCCTCGGTGAGGCGTTGGCGGCTATTTTGGTGAACTTCGTTGGTGAAGATACGGATGGGTATATGGAATCAGTCAATGCATTGGAGGGGCTTGGGTACTACACTTATGCTCCGGTGAAGCTCTCTCTCGACTTGGAGAATAGAGTCATTCCTCCCGCAAAGCCTTCTATTATTCAGCCACTATAACTAGAGCTCAAACCACTTCCACCACACTTGAGGTATAAATTTCTTGGCTCGAATGATACTTTACCGATAATCATTTCTTCTTTGTTGAACGATGTGCAGGTAGAACAATTGTTGGATGTCTTGAAGGAGCATAGGCAAGCTATTGGGTAGACAATTGTGGACATCTGAGGGATCCCCGCTGAAATTTGCGAACACAAGATCCAATTGGAGAATAAGACTAAACCAAGTGTGGAGCATCAATAACGGTTGAACACGTCCATGTAGGAGGTGGTAAAGAAATAAATCATCAAGTGGTTGGATGTCAGGGTAATCTACCCCGTTGCCGATAGTTCTTGGGTGAGCCCGGTGCAATGTGTGCCGAAAAAGGGAGGCATGACCATGATTGAAAATGAAAAAAAATGAGCTCATCCCAACAAGGATGGTGACCGGATGGAGGGTGTGTATGGTTTATCAGAAGCTCAACAGTGCCACGTATAAAGACTATTTCCCTATGCCTTTTATTGATCAAATGCTTGATCGGCTAGCGTGAAGGTCATTTTATTGCTTTCTTGATAGATATTCTGGTTACAACCAAATCAACATAGCATTGGAGGACCAAGAGAAGACAACATTCACTTGCCCTTATGGAACTTTTGCCTTTAGCCGGATGCCGTTTGGTTTGTGCAACGCTCCGGCTACTTTTCAAAGATGCATGATGTCCATCTTCTCAGATATAGTGGAGGATTTTCTAGAGGTTTTCATGGACGACTTTTCAGTGGTAGGTGACTCTTTTGAGCATTGTCTTAACAATCTTAGACAAGTGCTCAAGAGTTGTGAGGAGACCTACCTTGTGCTTAACTGGGAGAAATACCACTTCATGGTGGATGAACGCATTGTCTTGGGGCATAAAATTTCAAAACATGGCATAGAGGTTGACCGAGCAAAGATCGAGATCATTTCCAAGCTTCCTCCACCTAACAGTTAAAGGTGTCTGAAGTTTCTTGGGGCATGCCAGATTCTATAGGCGTTTCATCAAGGATTTTTCCAAAATTGCAAATCCTATGTGCAAACTCCTTGAGAAAGTTGCAAAATTTGTGTTTGACGAGAAGTGCCTCAAAGACTTTGAGGAATTGAAACAAAAGCTCACCACGACACCTATTATTGTCACACCCGATTGGTCTCTCCCATTAAAACTCATGTGTGACGCCAGTGGTGTAGCTATTGGGGCCGTGCTTGGCCAACGTCATAACAAGGTTCTTCACCTAGTCTATTATGCAAGCAAGACACTTAATGGAGTGCAAATGAATTATACGGTGACTGAGCAAGAACTTCTTGCCATTATCTATGCCTTTGAGAAACTCCGGGCGTATTTGTTGGTATCCAAGGTGATAGTGTACAGAGATCATGGTGCTCTTCGCTATCTTATGGCAAAGAAGGATGAAAAGCCTAGGTTGATTCGGTGGGTCCTGTTGTTGCAAGAATTTAACTTCGAAGTCAAAGATCGAATAGGGACTGAAAAAGAAGTGGCAGATCATTTATCAAGGCTTGAAGAGTTAGGGCGACCAAATGAAGATCTTGAAATCAACGATGCTTTCTCGGATGAACACATATTGGCATTATCTAACACTTTTGCTCCTTGGTACGCCGATATTGCTAACTACTTGGTTAGTGACCTTATTTCGGATGGATTGGAAGCTTATCAGAAGAAGAAGTTTTTGAGAGATTGTCGGCAATATTATTGGGAAGAACCATTCTTGTTCCATGTTTGTGATGATAACATCATTAGACGTTGTGTTCCAGAAGAGGATATTATGACAATCCTAAAGACATGCCACGACTCACCGGTCGGGGGTCACCATGGGGGAAATCGAATGGCGGCAAAGGTGCTTGAATGTGGTTATTATTGGCCGTCGATGTATCATGATGTCAATCAAGTGGTCAAGGATTGTGACCAATGTCAAAGGCAAGGATCAATCTCCAAGAGGCATGAAATGCCAATGCACTTTGCGATGGAGATAGAGATCTTTGACGTGTGGGGAATTGATTTTATGGGCCCCTTTGTAAGATCTTGTGGTATGAAATATACCTTGGTGGCTGTGGACTATGTGTCCAAATGGGTTGAAGCAATTGCCTTACCAAACAATAAGGCAAAGAAAAACATATTCACGCGGTTTGGCACTCCTAGAGCCATTCTTAGTGATGGTGGGTCTCACTTCTGTAACAAGGATTTCACGGGGCTACTAGAGAAATATTGCATCAAGTATAAGGTAGCCACACATTATCATCCCCAATCAAGTGTCCAAGTTAAAGTTTCCAACCGGGAGATAAAGAACATTCTAGCAAAGGCTGTTAGTGCAAACAGGACTGATTGGTCAAGGAAGCTAGATGACGCATTGTGGGCATATCGCATGGTGTACAAAACCCTTGTTGGCACTTCTCCTTATCGGTTAGTCTTTGGAAAGGTTTGACATCTACCCGTAGAACTTGAACACAAAGTCATATGGGCTTTAATAAGGTTGAACTTGGACTGGGCTGAAACTGCAAGCTTGAGGTTAACACAACTCAATGAAATGGAGGAAATCTGTTTCCATGCATATGAAATTGTAGCTGTGTACAAAGAAATGATAAAGGTCGTCCACGACAAAAAGATCTTGAAAAGGGATTTCAAGTCGGGTGACTTGGTTTCTCTTCAACTAAAGACTCAAATTGTTTCCGGGCAAGCTCAAATCGAAATGGTCCGATCCGTTCAAGGTGGTAAATATATCCCCTTTTGGAACTATGGAAGTAGAATCAGAGGATGGGCTCCGAACCTTCAAAGTAAATGGCCAGCGAGCCAAGCACTACTTGTACACAGATGGAGAAAAACACTTGATGGAATAGTTGGCTATCAAAGATGGTGCGTGCCCAACCAATGAGTGAACCCCAAAAAAGGTCCAACTTCGTCGTGCCACGACATTAAATCAAGCGCTTAATGGGAGGCAACCCATGTGTGGTAACATCCTTTTTGTCCTTTAAATTTTAAATTTTGTTAGATAGATTTAATTGAGCAATTTAAAGCGTGTGTTAAAGTGCATGTGATTCAAAAGATCATAACACATGGTAAAATTGCATGTGAAAGGGAAGAAAAGTCACCATGGGAAGTCTGCTACACATATGCGGTCGCATTTTAACTATGTGGACCGCATAGTGGTCACAGACCTGGACAGTTTATTTGCAAATTTGGTGGTAGATATGCGGCGAGGACGTGCACTTTGCAGACCGCATTTCGGTTATGCGATCGCACAAGTGCACTGCATTGTGTCCATGAGTAACTCCTATTGAAACCATCATATAACACTTATGCGGTTGCATAAGGTGTTATGCGGTGCCTTACCAACCACAAACTTCACAGGTAAGTACCCCTACCCCTTCACACATAAATACACACCAGCACTCAGATTTCCCTCTTAAACAAAACAAAACAAAAACAAAACAAAACACAAAAAGAAAAAGGAGAAAGAAACAAACGGCTAGTGAACCAAGTAAACAACAATCACACTTTATGCATTCATCTTCCAAGTGTTCTAAATTCTCCGTTCCTGGTATGTTTTACTTTCCAAGTTTTATCCTTGCAAATTCTAGTTTTTAATTTTGTTGTTCGTTTTCCCTTTTTCTTTTAGTTTCCTTTCGTGTGTGTTCTTAATTCCTTGTTGTTATTGGGTATCTGCTCATAATGGGGGGAGGTTCTGGGTAGTGAAATTGGGTTCGCCATTGTAGAGGGTAGAGTTCAAATCGTTGAGGACGAAGACTTCTGTGGACCGCATAGTCGATTTGCGGTCAGCATTTCTGTCACATAGAAAACCCTAGGTCAGTTGAGGAAGATGAGAAAATGTGGAGGCTTTGAAATTTCATAAGTTATATGCGACCACAAAGCCACTGCATATTGAAACAGTTTTATGGCTTTTGTAACATGTCGTTTGCGGCAATTCTGTGATCGCAAATCCTTCTTTACGGTGGACTTTGCGATCGCATAGTGTGAATGAACTTTTTATGTTAATAGTTCTGTGATGGTTATGTGAACCGCATAATGGATATTCGATCGTAAAACACATCTCATAGCTATATCCTTTCAACAGATAGAAGTTTGTGACATGTTTGCGGTCCGCATATTGGTTATGTGACTGCATAACCTGTCGCATACTTGAATTTATTTGTACTTATTTTTCTCATGAGTCACTATGTTGCTCACACTTCATTTCTGTGCAGATATGGCTCCCAAGAAACTTATATCTTCTGCCAAGAAAAGGGCCTCGGCCAATCGTCAAGCACAACAAGCCAATCGTTCATGACCGGACCTTACTGCTGCGCATCACTCCCAGTCTGATGAGTATGAGGCCTTTCCATCAGTTGATTTACAGCTGAGGCAAGAAGAAAAAGAGGAGATGATTTCCAACTCAGGTTTGGGGTCAAAGACTCTAGGGAGCTGTATAGAGAAGGGCTAACAAAACGGAAAATCCTTGCCAAAAAACAACTGAGTCTGAATGGGCTACAGGAGCAGTACCCTCATATACAGGAGAATATCAAGGCTAGAAACTAGGAGTGCTTCACTGAGCTTCCTAATGATTACAATGAAACAATGGTTCGTG